GAGCTCCCTTAAGAGATGGGGTTAGCGATTGTGACAGCATGTCTGTCTTGTGCTGGGCTGGTATTCTTTGTAGGGTGCTGTCCAGTCTTGTTCTCTGTGCCTAGTGGCAGATAGTGGAGGGAATGAAGTAGTTACTGAAAATGGGTGGATAGCTGTTTCTGTGGGGGAAGAAAATGCTGAGAATTCCAAACACTTAATCACAGAAATGGTACCAAAAGGGAAGAGTTCAATATTTATATTTGTGGTTAACACAATTCTAATTTCATCCCAAATAGTTCTATTGAAGGTTTCAGCCTAAGTAATTAAGTTGAGTTTGTATTAATACTAGATGATGTAACAGGAGCCAGTCTAGGCTTCCATGAAGCGTAGTTCAGGATCCTATGCAGACGGTATAATTCGGAACTAAGTGGAAAAGGACGACCGGGAGGAGACGATGAGGATCAGAGCAGGTTGACAGACAGGGGGGTGTGACGATGGTGATCTGGTGCTTGGGGGGCGTAGCCAAGGCGAACAAGTCCAAGGAGTCAAGGGGGGAAATTCGGGCTCAAAAGTTCAATAGCAGGTGATCCAACCGAGACAGGGCAAGACAGAGTTAAAAACTGGAACGGCATTCAGTACAGGGACAGGGAATAAAAATGGTATGATGAGGCCAGGCGCTCCGAGCCCCAGACTCAGCTGGGTCAGCACACCTATAGGAGCCCTATGCCCTCAAGTCGCAGACGTAGGGCGACTTGATGGTAGGCAGGCCTCTGGGCGTCTGTCTTCCAATGCAGAGCCCAGTGTTGCAAGAGTGCCAAGCTTAAATAAGTAGGGACAGGACTGGGGGCAGGTGCACGTAATTAGCAAAATGTGAAAGAGCCGGAGCGCCCTTAAGAGGAGGGATTACGATCGTGACAGATAATTCTGTTGACCAGAATTGCAAATCCCTTGTCTATTGCATGTGGAAATTGAGCTCACCTGCATTAAATTAACAGCGTGGTATCTCCATTCTAATGAGAGAGAACACAAGCAGAGTTTTGTCCTAATATGAATTATGATTATGTCATTGCAACTTGCTTAACCACAAATTGAAAATAAATTGCATTTATCTGTTCCCTAGATAATAAAATGTTCTGTCTTTTCTCACTAATCCCTTATAATAATTCAGTGGTTAGGATTTCAGCTGCAGATGTGTAATTTGATAGTCTTTTGTTCTCATGTCCGTTGTGGCAAAACAGAAAAATGAGATCCATTGAAAAAAAGAGTAAGAAGCATTTAAACAGGAACACACCCAATAATGTTTAATACTCTTCATTTGAGCATTTTGCTTGAATGACCTTCTAAAAAGACTATTATATATGCTCTCTCATTCTTTTAATTCTCAAGGTATTCTTTACAGCTTGATACCCCTGCACGACAGAAAAGAGACTAAAGGTGTTTTCTGATTAACTCTTTGCATGTGATAATATTGTTAAGAGTCAAACTGTAGTTATGAGCTTTCAGTGTTATCCCTTAGGAATGCAAAACCATGGGAAACATCAACACATTTAATCAGTGAAAATACTGAATGTGTAAATCCCCTAGGTGTTTTTTTTACCAGTATATATATAGTGGACTATTACATTTTCATTTAACAAAGTTACATAACTGTAATACATGGACTGAAAACAAACATACATTATGCTTTGGTTAATTGCGAGACAGTATCTGAAAATATACTTTGGAATAATAATAATAATAATAATAATAATAATAATAATAATAATAATAATAA